CACCTAATCGGCCTCCCCCTCTTGGGCGACCTCTTGCTGTCTGACCCCAACCCCGAGCTGGCTGGGCGGGTGATGTAACTGCTGGAACTGGTGCCGTTGGTTGAGAACTCTGTTGTGAAACCCCACTCAACAGCCTAGGACAATCTCTCTTGAAATGACCCAATTCTCCACACTAGAAACAACCCCTCCTCTGACGGAACTGCTGCTCCTGATAACCCGAAGAATTACCTGTAGAAGCCTGAGCAGACGAGGTATGATGAGAACTCTGCGCTGGTAGTGCACTTAATAAAGAATGGCCTGAGTGAGCACTGTAAGAATCGTGGCTAGCTGATGCACCACGATGAGCTGGACGACCCGCCTGAGCGTGTCTGTAAAAACGGCCCCTACCGCGGTAAAACTGACCCCCTGAAGGAACACCGCTGAAATCACCGGAACCACAAGGCCTCTTATTCTCCCTCTCAACCCGCTCCTGGCTACGAACCATCTCAATCTGACGAGCAATGTCGACAACCTCATCGAAAGTAACACCAGACACTCTCTCTCTAGTCATGAGTAATCGCAGCTAAAAAGTGAGGTCATCTATGAATCTCCTGATCCTTTCCCTGTCTGTGGGAATCAACCAGATAGCATGACGGGCCAATTCTGAAAATCTCATCTCATATTGTGTCACAGACATATCACCCTGATGAAGTTGCTCAAACTGCCTGCGCAGCTCCTCCCTACGGGACTGAGGCACGAACTTCTCCAGGAATAGACCGGATCACTGCTGCCAGGTAAGGGGTGCTGCACCGACCGGTCTACACCTCTCGTAAGACTCCCACAATCTGAAGGCAGCCCCAGAAAACTGAAAAGTAGTGAATGAGACCCCACTGGTATCTAAAATACCTGTTGTCCGAAGCATCCACTGACACTTATCCAGAAAACCCCAGGCATACTCTGACTCAGTACTGCTAAATGATGGAGGTCTAATCCTATCAAATCTCTCAAGTCTCATCTGCTCATCATCTTCCATAACAGGAACTACCGGGGCCTGAGCAACTACAACCGGCTGGGCTTGTAATGCCCCCTGTATCTGAAGTCCTTGTACTACCTGGTCTGGAGTACGGACAACGGGGGTATGAGTACCTCCCTTGGCCTGAGAAGCGGCAGGTGCGGCCTGAGCCGAAACCACTTGAGCAAGGCCAGTGCAAGCGGCCAATATCTGGGCCAAAGTCTCCTGAAGGACTGGAATCTCAATGGGCACAGCTGGTGCCTCAGCTGATCCTGTCGGCTCAGCTATATCCGGAATCTTCTCCTGAGCAGGAGCAACTGGTGGTACTATAGGTGCTGGTCCAACTGTGGTACGAGCTATACCTCGACCTCTACCTCGGCACCGGCCTCTCGCGGCCCTAACTGGTGGCACTAGTGGCTGACCGTCCGATCCGGTAATACGTGTCCTTACCATCTGTGAGAGAATAGAATAGCAAAAATTTAGTTTCCAGAATCAACAAATTCCCACGACATAATACAAGAAAGTGAAATTTTCCTAAGGGTTCCACAGCCTCTCGAAGATAAGTACAAACGTCTCCATACCGATCCGCAAGACTTTACTAAACCTATTCATGACTCGTGAGACCTATGTAACCTAGGCTCTAAGACCAACTTGTCATGACCTAAAATCCCAACCTGTCGTGATGGCGCCTATCTCGTTACTAGGCAAGCCAATAATCTCGATAAACCACAATTTCTCTTAAGTTTGAAAATGCAATAATTTAATACAATACAAAATGCCATAAATATTGACACGAACACTCCGCAAAACCTGGTGTCACTTAGTACATGAGCATCTAATATGAATACAGATCTGGAGCATAAGGTCTATAATAGTCTAAGACCAAAATACAGTAAACAAGGAGATAGGGAAAGAGAGACAAGGTCTGCGAAATATGGCACCTCTAAATCTCTTGAAAATCAACTCCGTGAAATGATCAACACCCGTTACGTCCGAGAATACCTAGATCTGCACACGAAGTGCAGGGTGTAGTATGAGTACAACCAACTCAGCAAGTACCAATAATAACTAAGGAACTGAAGATAATGACGAGCTCCACCGTTATAGTTCACTTTCAGTAATTCCAATAAAGAATAGACATGCTTTCAAATCCGGTAGTTTAAGTCAAATCAATTTTTATACAATTCAATTTCATGTATTCCGAATATAAAGTCTTTCAGAGATTTCACAACAATGATAGATAGCAATCAAGTACAATAACAAATGCAAAGCAAGTACAATCTCCTAGGCAAAAGTCACTCCACTCATCACTCGGCTCTCAGCCCTCAACACTCACACTCAATGGGTACCCGCGCTCACTGGGGGTGTACAGACTCCGTAAGGGATCCTACAACCTAAGTTCCATAATCTGCACGGACAACTCACGTGCTGCACGGACAACTCACGCGCTGCACGGATAACTCACGTGCTATAATATCCTGCACGGACAACTCACGTGCCATAATATCCTTACCTCACTGACAGGCCCTCGGCTTTACTCAGTCCTAAACCTCTCTAGTCTCTCGGGCTCCCAGAAATCACAAAGATCAGCCTAAACAAGGATAACATAATGCATCAACAAATATCAAGAAAGACTAAGGTATGATACGCAAGTAAAATCATGACTGAGCACAAGATAAAAATTAACAATTGATTCAATAAGTACGTACCCTTTGTGGGACCCCAAAAGTACTATCACATAGCCTAAGCATGATTTTTAACATGATTTATAGTCAAATTTCTTCAACATATAGAGAGCATATAGCTAACAACAAATTATTCAACTTTACAGTTTCACGGGATGGACCAAGTCACAATCCCCTCGGTGCAAGCCCACACGCCCATCACCTAGCATGTGCGTCACCTCCAAAATAATCACATGACACAAAATTCCGAGGTTTCATTCCCTCAGGACAAGATCTAAAACTGTTACTTACCTCAGAGCGTGAAATTCTTTACTCTGCTATGCCTTTGCCTTGCAAATCAGCCTCTGAATGCCTTGAATCTAGTCTCAAATAATTTATTTCAGTCAATAAAATTTATTGAAATTAATTCCATAAGAAAATACTAATTTTCCATAAAAATTCGAATTTTAGCTCAAAATTCGCATGTGGGGCCCACGTCTCAGAACTCGATAAAAGTTACAACATCTAGAAGCGCATTCAACAACGAGTCTAACCATACCAATTTTATCAAAATCCGACCCCAACTCGACCCTCAAATCTTCAATTTAAACTAAGAGGGTTTTCAAACTTTTCCAACTTAATTCACCAATTAAATGATAAAAACAACCATGGATTCGGGTAATTTAACCAATATTGAGTTAAGAACACTTACTCCGTTATTTTCCTTAAAAAATCCCGAAAATCACCTCTTCCTGAGCTCAAATCCGTCAAAAACTGAAAATGGGATGAAGTCCCATTTTCAGAACTTAAACTCTCTGTCCAGACCTCTCTTCTTCGCGAACGCGGCAGGTCTCCCGCGTTCGCGAAGCACAACTCGACTGCCCACAAATTTAACCCTTTTGCGAACGAGACTGTGGCTTCGCTAACGTGAAGCTTTGCCAATCTTACCCTTCGCGAACGCGACCATGTCTTCACGAACGAGACCACGGCTTCGCAAACGCGAAGCTTTACCAGCTCAGACCTTCGCAAACGCGACTGCCACCTCGTTTTCGTGAACGCGACACCTCCCACGCATTCGCGATGCATACACACACATACCTTCGTGTTCGTGTCCTCCCCTTCGCGGGCGCGAAGAATAAATCCTCACACTCAAAAAACACTCTTCGCGAACGCGAGGGCCCACTCGCGAACGCGAAAGACAAAATCAGAAAAATACAGCAGCAGATATCAGTAATCTCACCAAGGCCAAAAATGATCTGTTAACCATCCAAAACTCACCCGAGCCCCTTGGGACCTCAACCAAATATTTCAACAAGTCCTAAAACATCATACGGACTTAGTCGAACCCTCAAATCGCCTCAAACAATGCTAAAACCACGAATTACACCTCAATTCAAGCCTAATGAACTTTGAAATTTCTAAATTCTACAAACGACTCCGGAACCTACCAAATCACGTCCGATTTACCTCAAATTTTGCACACAAGTCATAAATAAAATAACGGATGTACTCAAATTTTCAGAATCGGATTTTGACCCCGATATCAAAAAGTCAACCCCCCGGTCAAACTTCCCAAAAATTCAACTTTCGGTATTTCAAGCCTCATTCTACTACGGACCTCCAAATAATATTCCGGACACGCTCCTAAGCCCAAAATCACCATACAGAGCTATTGGAATCAAAATTCAAATCCGAGGTCGTTTACACATAGGTCCATATCTGGTCCACTTTTTTAACTTAAATTTTCAATTATGAGACTAAGTGTCTCATTTCACTCTGAATTCCTTCCGGACCCGAACTCACTAACCCGACAAGTTATAAAATAACTATAAAGCATAAATTGAGCAGTAAATGGGGGAATAGGGTTATAATACTCAAAACAATCGGCTGGGTTGTTACAATGATAAATTGTCCTTTAAGACATATGAAGTTATATTTGTTCTGTTCTGGAGAATTATAGTTGTGGTGTAATTGTATTGCTAATTTGAATAGAGATTGTATCCTATAATGAATGTTTGCTAAACATATTTCAACTCTTAATGCAAATGGTTTGTAGTTGTTTTGTTCAAATACGAGGTTTATTTATTACTTTCAGCCTATCCTAACAACACCGTTAAATTGAATAGATTATGTATTTTTGTATAGTAGTTATAGACATAATTGTAGTTATGATGTAAAGAAATTATATAGTACCAATATCGATATCAAGTACTAACAACTTCCAACCAAAAAAAAGCCACAAATGTTTTCTATTCTATGTAGTAGAATTCTAGACAAAATAACAAAACAAAAGGTAAAACAACTGTAGCACAAATCTGTTACAAATAAATTGCAGCTGACTCCTTCTTAATAAACAATTTATCTACAACTTTACTACAATCCAGCTACATCTAAACACTTTAAGTATAATTTTTCTACTGAAAAGGGCAACTAATTCTTCTTTTCCCGGACTTGTATTCTCTCGTTCATAGCTGGTGCACCTTTTCTTCTTGCTAATCTTCCACACACCCCACTTTCACTAATTACACCAAACTCTTGCTTTTTCCTATCATAATCCCAAAGGAGTGCTCCATAGTATCGACGGTGTTGATCAATATCAGAAAAGTCTTCCTTTGAAATCGATAGCTCTCCAATGTTGACATATTCTGCAAATGATGCCACGTATACACCACAGTCACTGCAAAAAATAATAATTGAAAAGATTTAGCATTAAATGTAAAATACAATTAGTTAAATAGATAGAAAGAAAGCAACACATACAATGATCCTTTATTTTGCTGGGGTATCTGACCGACTAACCACTGAATGTCAAGAGGGTCAGTAACACCTTTTTCAATATATGCCTTTGTGTTCTTATAGTTGATGTCTGGACGTTTGCCATAGAAGCCGGTGCATGACAAGTAGAAGGGGATCATAATAGCAAACTTGTCGACAACAAATTCAACAAGTTTGTGATTTCGTGAAGAGACCATAGAATCATAAACATATAGAACCCTATTGGTGATGTCAAACACAACCAATAACCAATGAAATTTTTTCACAATGTTTATGGGCATAATCGCAAAATCAACTTTGTTCCATGCAACATTTGCAAGTAATCGGTACCCCAATATGTATTCTACTACGACGTCCTAGGGTTTGACAACAACAAGCTTCTTATCGGCAGGAGCATTAATGTACCTCTCATAAATTTATTCAATTCTAGTCTTGAACATACAGTCAGTGGTTGTAAACCGTGTTTTATTTTCAGGACCATACTTTTTCCTCTTCCTCAAATAGTAAAAAATAACATCACTGTGCTGCAAAAAAAAAAACAGATTTCATTATTTCTCAATGCTTCATACAACTTAACTACAGATTTTCAAACAAAAAATCTACATATTTCTAAAATAATAGAATACTACAACTAATCATTAAATTCTGCGAGGGTATGTGTGTACCGTGTTGTTGAGTACTTGCCCAGTATGTTCAAAAGTATAAAACCAGTCCTTTTTATCAACTTTCTCTACTCCAAGATCAAATCACGGCTTGAGCTGATTATCTTTTAAAGTATAAAGCGCCTTTCTCCTATTTAAAGACATAACACGTACAATTATTATGTAGTTTCAGTTGGAAATCCATAAATTGTATGCACTCGATAATATGAAAAAATTGTATAATCTAACCTCTTTGAAACCGTGTCGGTACCTAAATATAACCACTTATTGAATTCTTCCAACAAGTCAGGATCAACATCTCGCGTAAATGGATGCTTGATGTTGAAAATTGGAGGAGGTCCAACAGAAGTGCTTCACACAGAACTGAAATAAGGGAGAAAGGGGGATCTGGCATGCTTTCAAGGAACACTTGTTCTTCCCTGATACACATGGGCTGTTTCATCTTCATTTAACTCGCCGAACTTAATAATCTGTGAGAAGTTCTCTAGCAGCTCAAAATCATTACGTGTTACTGTCCTTTTTCCAGACTTGGAGTCATTGTCTGAATCACCTACATTGATGTAGACGGCTGATTCACCTACAAAATTTAAAATAGAAGAACTACATTGTATGTTGGTTGCATTAGTTCTTTTGGGAAAACTAAAACTTATATGAAAGTTGTTGTTTTTTTCCTACAATTATATTGTAACATATAATACCAGTGAAATCTTCATTGCAATCGTCTCCTTGTTGTATAACATTTGCTTGTTGAATGGGAGATTGCAAAGGCATAGTTTCCTTCTCCTCATTTAAATGTTCTCCTTGTATGCCAAGTTTTGCATCCTGTTTTGGAGAGTCCACATGCATAGTTTTCTTCTCTGTTACAATAAATGTGTACAACTTAATAAAATTGTAGATCATTTGTAATAAATAGAAACAACTTCATAGTTTAATTGTAGTTGATTTGTTTAAATATTTTCCTGTAACTCAGATGTAATATGTATTGTAGAATATGTAGATAAAAGGTACTAAATCATACATGCAGTTTCTTCCTCCGATGCCCCTTGAAATTGAGAAGATAAGTCAACACCTATAAGAACATTCTCCTCATTTTGAATGTCAGACATGTGTCATGTATCTAAGACAATAATTGGAAATATAATGTAGATTATTTGTTGGTAATTTAGGCTATATGTAGATATAATGTAGATATAATGTAAATATAATGTAGACTATTTGTCATCATATTGTGTTAAAATTATTAAAATACATATTTTACTGGTGCTGGCCAACACTGGTTTAGCACTACTGCCCAGATTCTGTTGTTTATTCTTTTCTTTGTAATGCTCATCATTTTTCATAGAAATACCACTAAACTGCATTGGCAATTTGTTAGGATATGTACTTTATGAATGCTATTATAAACATAAACAAAGTAAAAATTGTTGTCCAAAATGAATATATTTCGGATGAAACCTTAGCATTAATGTTCATATCCTATTGACTATTTATTGCCTGTAATNTTAAAGAAACCAGCTAGGATTATCTTAAGAGGTTACCTTATCAACATCTTTTCTTAATTTTTTTGTTGTTTCACAATATCTTTCTTGTCATTTATTTCCATTGCCTGCTTATGTCCAGATGGAGATGGAGTATCTGTCGGATGCTCGGCCTTTGTTTCAGCTTCTTTAAGGATGTATTCAACTTTGTATGGCAAATTCATTCTTGAAAGCTCTTCTGGGGCTTAAAGCATGTTAGTGAACTAAGTGAAAAACAAATGTGAGGGACCTAGCCCTAATATGTATAAAATATGTAGATAATTTGTATTAAATTGTCTGTCCAGGAGTGAAAAAGATTTACCTTGATCCATGATGGTTTGATCATTATATCTTCCAATGCAGATATCCATATCTCGTCCTTACTAGCTGTCCAGTTAAGTATGCAGGGGATCGAATTACCAACCCTTATAGCTATATCAGTGTTGACTGTAGAGCAACACTCATACAATCATATTTGCATAACGAGTGCAAAACCTCGAATGAGATAAAAATGCACAGAAGGGTTGAGCTTGTGCCTAATAGACTGAAGCAATTGTGTATAAGCTTCGATACCCCATGCGAAATTCGCATACTGCCCCGAGTTCACCAAGTAGAACCTAAAATGATCTATCAAACCATTATCTTTCTCTAAAGGATAGAGGAGGAATTCTATCAGATAGAGAATACACAGCTTGACTGCATCCTCATTATTCACCCAACTCCGGCTGGTTACAATTTGTTTCAAGTATGACTTCTCAACTTTTTCCTTGTTCGAAAAATAGCTCCTCATTGTTTTACTGTCATACTTAGTTGTGTAACCAAAGTTTATTACTTTTGTAAAACATCTAAGGCCAGTGATAAGGGAAAACTCCTTCAACCCAAAGTTCAGCTCTCACCCTTTATCTCTGCTGTAAAAAAATTAGAACCGGATGTGTTCAATTCATACTTCATGAGAAGGTGAATTGCCTTATTTTGGATACATATTTTGGGCAGGGAAAGAAAATGCCCAAAACATGTCTTCTTAAACAAGTTTAACCCTTTTTCAGATAATAACACCTTGATTTGGCCAGGAACAGCAGGGTCGGATAATTTCTGGAACCTAGTGATGCCATAATCAACATCATGTGGTGCAAAAAATGTTTCATTCTGCACCAAAAGAAACAGTAAGTTAATAAAAATTGTTTGAAGACCAAAAAATAAAATAAATACATTTCTACTACAATTTAGCTACAATCAGATAAACATTAATACATTGCATACAAGTAAGTTACAAAATTAGTAAACATATATAACAACTGACTACGTTGAAACTACAAATTATGTTTAGAGTAAGAAATTAGAAAGTAACAACAAGACATAATATGTATAATTTATTTATAGAAAATAAAACTAACATCTACAAATAGAGCAAATAATAACCAATAAAACCAACTAAATCAAGTAGTACATCCCCTAACAAATTAATTTCGAATAATAGGCTATAAATGTTTGATTCCGCACCAAAAGAAACAGTAAGTTAATAAAACTTGTTTGAAGAACAAAAACAAAATAAATACAATTCTACTACAATTTAGCTACAGTCAGAAAGATATTAATACATTGCATACAAGTAAGTTATAAATTAGTAAACATATATAACAACTGACTACATTGAAGCTACAGATTATGTTTAGAGCAAGAAATTAGAAAGTAACAACAAGACATGATATATACAATTTATTTACAGAAAATAAAACTAACATCTACAAATAGAGAAAATAATAACCTATAAAACCAACTAAATCAAGTAGTACATCCCCTAACAAAATAATTTTGAATAATAGGCTATAAATGTTCGATTCTGCACCAAAAGAAACCATAAGTTAATAAAACTTGTTTGAAGACCAAAAAACAAAATAAATATAATTCTACTACAATTTATCTACAGTCAGAAAGACATTAATACATTGTATACAAGTAAGTTACAAAATTAGTAAACATATATAACAGCTGATTGTATTGAAGCTACAAATGCACTGATAAAATTATGTTTAGAGCAAGAAATTAGAAAGTAACAACTAGACATAATATATACAATTTGTTTACAGAAAACGAAACTAACATCTAAAAATAGAGCAAATAATAACCAATAAAACCAACTAAATCATGTAATACATTCCCTAACAAAATGATTTCGAATAATATACAAGAAGTCTACAATTTTCAGGGAAATGTAAAAAAGTTAATGTCACGACCCAAAATCTGCATGTCGTGATAGCGCCTATCTCAATACTAGGCAAGCTGACAATCTCAATAAATCACGATTTCTTTAAGTTTAAAACATAATATTTAAATTCGAAAGAAAATCCCACAAATACTGATATAAATACACTTCCAAAATTCGGTGTCACTGAGTACATGAGCATCTAAATGATAACATAGTCAGACTCATACATACATTGTCTGGAAAAGTAAAACAATACAAATAACTAAAAGGAAAGAGAGTCAAGGTCTTCAGACGCCGAACAACTACCTCGATAGTCTCCAACAGATGAAACTCCGAAATTTAGCAACCGTCGTATCCGGAAGTACCTGGATCTGCACACGAGGTGCAGAGTGTAGTATGAGTACAACCAACTCAATAAGTAACAAGACTAACCTTTGGGCTGAAAGTAGTGACGAGCTCAACAGGTATAATCCAGTATAGAAATAACAGTACAAAAAATGTAGGCATTGCTTTTAAGTTCAACAGTTAAACTCAGTACAAGTAAAATAGATAAAATCTGTATGATATGAGGGATATGACATCTCTATATCTACATGCCAATGTATATATTGTATGTGATGCCTCAGGGGAAACCTCGTGTACTCATAATCTCAAAATACCCAATCACTCAGTACTGTATATGGCCAATCTAGCCCAGGTAAGATCTATCCCATATATATATACATCAACTGGCAGTCAGTCACTCAGTACTGTATAAGGCCAATCCAGCCCAGGGGAAGATCCATCCCCAAATATAAATGATTCGGACAAGATCCATGTCCAGGGAAGATCCATCTCTCAATATAAATGCTTTGGGCAAGATCCATGCCCAGGGAAGATCCATCCCTCAATATAAAATGCTTCAGGCAAAATCCATTCCCAAGGAAGATCCATCCCTAAATATAAAACAACCGCGCTCACTGTGGAGGGTGCAGACTCCGGAGGGGCTCCTTTTGCCCAAGTGCTATAATAGCCTGATCCAGGCATAAATAAATAAAACATGTTGTGGCATGCAAACCGATTCCATAAATATCACTCAAAATCTCTAGTCTCTCGGGCTCTCAATGACATAAAAATCAACCCGACATGATGATATGATGTATTAATGAATGACAACAGAGACTGAGATATGATATGCAAATGATAGATGTGACGGAGTATAAAATTGTAAATTTAAACAAGTAGTCCAATAGCAATAAGACATCTATGGGTCCAAAATATCAGCACGTAGCCTAAACATGATCTTTAACATGAGTCACAACTCAATTTCCTCTAACATGTGGAGGATATTTGGATAATGACAAGATTGTTTGATTATGCAACTCTATGGTGCACACCCACACGCCTGTCACCTAGCATGTGCGTCAC